AATATATTCTTTGCCAAAACAATGTTTTATCTTGCAAAAGCAATATATGCCCTTTGAGTAGCTTTTTGTCCTAAAGAGAGATTTGAAGAATGGGATCGAATTGTGATGGGAATTTGAAAGCTGAGATTGAAGAATCTAATGGGTCTGGGAAAAGTAAGGTTCTTTCTCCTCTTGATGTTTCATTATCTCGAAGAAATCTGATTAGTGATGGTAAACCAAAGAGCTGGTCGTTTAGTGAATCTAGTAGAATCAAGCTTCTGAAATTCGGTTCTCCTTCTGCTAAATTCATGAAAATGGCTGAGGCAAGAGACGAGGTTTCACGGTCAGTGACGACGACGAGCTCATCAAGCAGCCATAATCTCAGAGAAAGAATCAGTGGTGTGCTTCACCGGAAAATCGATTGGAGTTCTTTAATGAAAATGGGGAAAGAATGGATTAGGAATCCAATTAACATGGCTTTATTCGTGTGGATACTTGTTGTTGCAGTCTCTGGTGCTATTCTCTTCATGGTGATGACTGGTATGTTGAATCATGCTTTGCCTAAGAAGTCACAGAGAGATGCTTGGTTTGAAGTTAACAATCAAATCCTTAATGGTTTGTTTACTTTGATGTGTCTTTATCAACATCCGAAACGGTTTTATCACTTAGTGCTTCTTTGTAGATGGAAGCCTGAGGATATTACTAAGCTTAGGAAAGCGTATTGCAAGAACGGGACTTATAAGCCTCACGAATGGATGCATATTATGGTTGTTGTTATGTTGCTTCACTTGAATTGTTTTGCTCAATACGCGCTTTGTGGTCTTAATGTTGGATACAGGAGATCAGAGAGACCTCCCATTGGAGTTGCTATATGTATCTCTGCTGCCATTGGTGCTCCTGCGGTTGCGGGTTTGTACACTATACTTAGTCCGCTTGGGAAAGATTATGATGATGATTCGAGTGTAGATGAGGAGAATCAAGTGCAGCGTGAAGAAGGGTCTGTGAATCGCAGGGGAGCTTTAGAGAGGAGGTATTCGTTTGCTTCTACTTCCTCGGTTGATGGGATGGTTCCGGTGAGTAATCCTCAATGGAGTGGTGGTATTTTGGATATTTGGGATGATATTTCGTTGGCTTATCTCTCTCTTTTCTGCACGTTCTGTGTCTTTGGATGGAACATGGAGAGAGTTGGGTTTGGGAACATGTATGTTCACATTGCGACGTTTATTCTCTTCTGTTTGGCTCCTTTCTTTATATTCAACTTAGCTGCGGTTAATATCGACAATGAGACGGTTAGAGAGGCGCTTGGAATATCTGGAATCCTTCTTTGTTTGTTTGGTTTGCTCTATGGTGGATTCTGGAGAATCCAGATGAGGAAAAGATTCAAGTTACCGAGTTATAAGTTCTGCTTCGGAAGAGCAGCGATTTCTGATTGTACACTGTGGTTATTCTGTTGCTGGTGCTCTTTAGCACAAGAAGTTCGGACTGCAAACTCTTATGAGATAGTTGAAGACAAATTCTGCCAAAGAACACAAGAACAGAGTTCGGTATCTCCTTTGCCTCGTGAAGACGGTGTGTTTGATCCTAGGTTTGGTCTCGGGAGCTCCCCGAAGAACATTAGCGGGGCTAATTCTCCAAGTCCAAGCAGGTTTTGGAAAGAGGCACATAGTCCAAATGTACAGACACCTAGAGAAAAAGATGAAGGTAAAAGCGAGGTTGTTTTGACTCCACCTTCTCCTTTGTCTATACACAGAGAAGCTTGATTTGAACAACCATGGAATCTGAATCCACTGGTAAACTCTCCTTCTTTACTCCTCAGGTGTTGTATGAATTTGATTTGGGGAAAACTTTTGAATACAAGTCTCTTTGATTGTTTCCGTGTAAAAAGTTTGATGAAGCCGGTCTTGTGACTTTTGTCATATGAGTTGTATACCATTCCTGTTTTCGGGTTTAAAAATTTCCCGGTTTCTTCTGTAATGTAAGTTTGTCATGTTTCAATAGGACTTTTGCGCGATCTCTGTGCCTTTTGCTTGCAGGCTTGCTTGTACATACCGATGTCTTGTAGAAATGCCGGTTAGTTCATGGTCGAACCAGGCGGTTGGAGAAGTTGTTGGCCACAACCCATTTTCTCTGTTCTTATGCCACAACAACTTTTTCAGGCTCATCATCGATTCATGCCATTCACATTCCGTAAGATCTCTCTAGCTCATCATGGTTCTACCTACCCTCATCGAGAAGGATAAAGAGAGATCATCAAGGACTTCCCTGCTCATCAATTCATCATATCCAAGATGGAATACTTCCATCTTGAGGGAGGGGGAGTATTAGAGTATATAGATTCCGGTTTAGTATTGGTTAATATTGGTTTATAGATTAGGCTTGGTTTAGTTGATAGTTCGATTGTATTTAAGGTGTATTATCTTGTTCATTCAATCTTAATGAAGAATTATCCTTTAATCTGAAAAAGATGTGATTCGTATTTGGAAGGTGTGGACTTGAAGTTGCTGGTCACAAACAGAGGCCACATCAGCCCTGCAACAATGGGTAAAATTTATGTGTGTTATGGTCGGTGTATATCCCAAAAGTTTACACTCTTCAGTCTCTCAATCAACCATGAACGGTCAAGCACAAGTGCCGGTCAAACTCAG